TTCATAAATGGAAGGTTATAGGGTGGCCGAACAGAGAATGGATCAAAAGGAAACTACTGAAGGATCTGCAAGATTATAAAATTTTTGAATCATAACTCGGATTCGTGGGCGATCAGCCGATGCTGCATTTACTGTACGAGACCAACTAAAAACCTTCCTGAATTCACCATAAGGTAGTGTGGAATGGCAAGATCATGTCCCCTTAGCAGTGCACCAATCAAATAAAGCTTAAAATGCTATTTATTTGAAAGTTAAAAATTAAATAAATATTTAAATTTGTGGCTTTCAAATCAGTTGCAATTTTCTTCCAGACTCTTTGTACTCGGTATTCCGGTATTTTTCATATGTCTGGTCGTAAAGAAGAGGAAACTTACGAATTTATTTTATTAGTCTTTCCACATCCATTTTTTGTACACAAAACACTCTTTAGCCTACAAAACAATTCTATCGTCCTATCGTCCGTCACGTGAAAAATTAAACAAAACTGATTTCGCTTAACGACGTTCCTCGAGTACGGCACGGATATTCGCGATTCAAGCTAAGTGATACGCCCTCTGGAGGAAATTTGTAGAAGGTCCCTATAAGTAGGATATCGTTCAGTGTTGCCAAAAGTAGCAAAATTTCGCTACGTCGTCGGATTTTAGCTTTTGAAAAAGTGGATAAGACCTTTTATTTAAGAATCAAAATTTGTGTATAGTAATATGTAATCATACTATATATTTATTTAAGGATTTTTTTATAAAACCGAAATATTATATTGATTTTTTTTTAAATTTCAATTCATTTATTAATTTTGTTTTAAAATCAGTTCAACATTTGTCAACATTGGCATTCGTGTTCATTGTTTACATTTTAATTTGTATCAATTACAATTCGAGTTTTTTCTTACTTTTTAGCTTTAAATTTATTTATTTCTTATAGTATGTGATAGTGTTTATATTAAAAATGAAGTCTGCGAAAAAGTCCCTAGCAAACTGCAATCTAAATGGTGTTAATGTCAAAATCAAAACTGAAGTATTATTATTTTCCAAGTGCAACTCGTAAAATTTTGTTTTTTATGATAGAAATTCAAAATATTGAAATTTTGCAAAACTTTGTTTAAGATCAAACTGTAATCTGATTTGTGACGGTTTTATTACCATTTACATGTTTATAATTCACTTAAGAATAAGTCTAGTAATATTTTTTAATAAGTTCATCAATAATAAACGTTTGGTACCTGGAATGTCCTTTAGACCACATAATAAAACATGTCCTGTAAATACATATTTCTAGATGTTCTGTAGCAACCAATAGGTGAATATTTCCAAGAAATTATGTCATACACATGATAAATATTATAATTATGACGAAAGCACGAGACTTAAACTTAAAATAACACTAAATGAAACTCAAAAACACTATTACAATGAAAATTCCACACCTGTAATTTTGAACCAATCAAAATACGTGTTTTTGACAGATCACCATGGCAACGGAGGTATTTTAGTGGAAATTTTTTTCTCGTGGGGTACCCAACAGCGAATTATACTGGAAATTTTTTGACGTTTACAATAACAGACCATTTTTGACAGACTGGTTTTTATTTGTTCACATAATAGGTTTAGTTTTGATACATTTTAGTTACAATGCTAAAGTGTTTCTATATTCTTCGGCCACTTCTTTTCTTCTTAATGGCGAAAATGCAGGACTTTGGATGCTTTGAAAGATGTGTCTATGTCTAATAAAATATATATAATATTTAGACACTAATTTATTCACCTTTTTCCCATTCAGCACTTTGAATTTTGCGTAGTTTAGGTGCAAATATTCGTGGACAATTCGGAACAAATTTTCGTTTTTCAAGTTGGAGCCACAATCCTCTATTAATCCGAGTAAGTAAGTCATGGTGCAATGATTGATCATTACATCAGACAATTTCACGCATATTTGGCATAGCGTATGATTTTCAAATCGATTCATTTTTAAACAAATAGGTAATTTTGTTGGTTTTACTTGCTGTGCAATATTCTTTATCGCAACAAAACGCGAGTTATTTAATGTTTTGAACTGTCAAAATACAATGATCACAGCCTCCTACGATTGATGCTTGCTGACGCTGGTTATGAATTTCATACCATTTTAAAGCGCTCATAACGCATGTTAATAAAAACGCAGAAAAACAATTTTCTACCACTTGTAGTTATTCAAAACTTACGTAAAATTAAAGAATATACTATTTTCTATTTTCAAATGGTATTCCCATGCAACTACAATGAGTAGAAATAAGCAATTTGAAGGCCTAAATAATTGCAGCGAAACATTTTTTTACGTCGGGCCGCTTGACAACTTCAAAACTGAAATTATATTCGAGGTTAGGGTCTCACTTAGTTACCATGACAACTCAACAATCAAGGCGACAACACCTTTTATGTTTCACTGGTGACTTGGAGAAAATAATTTGCATTGTTGGGAAACGAAAAATAAATTTTAAAAATATTTAATTTTCAACCATAATTCGGCGTGGAATTTTCTTACCGAATACCACGCGAGGTCAAATTAATATCAGGAAATAATTTGACCTCTAGTGGTATTACTAGTGAGAATATTATCTAAAAACAGTTAAAAAATTCACAAATACAAAATACACCAAAAATAAACACATGTAAATAAACAAACATCCTAGTTATAGGTGACAAATGACAGGCGCGCAAAAATTTATTTAAATCGCGAATAAAGACGATACATTTATTTTAATGGTTTATTTTGTTTTTCGCGTGTCGGCCGATACTCGGACGTATCTCAGCACGGACATGGCTCGGACATATGCGTCTCAACCTTAATTTGTAGTAATGCAAACAAACTATTAGATATTTGTGATATTTTTTGTTTTAGTATATGAGAATTAATAAACAACAAATCAAGAGCTTATCTTTGAATTCATAATTATTTTCTACTATTTTCAACTTTTTTACTTTTATTATAATTTTTTAACTTATCTTATGTATTTTCTTAGTTAATTTTATATTGTTAAATTTTCATACATTATACAACTAGACGACTGAAAATTTTCGATTATACGAGACGTATTGCCTGAAACACCACGAGACCGTAGGTCGAGTGGTGTTTTGTTAGGCAATACGTCGAGTTTCGGAAATTTTCAGTTGTCGAGTTGTATACAGATAGACAATAGCACGAAATTATTAAAAAAAAAATAAAAATAATGAAAAAAAAAAAGAAAAATAAAGAAAAAAAGAAAAAAAAAAGTTTCCTAGGGGAATCGAACCCTGGACCTTGCGATTGCAGAGCAAGAACTCTATCGCTAGACCACCTGGATAATTTAAATAACATTTCTATTTATATATATATATAGTAGGTAGACAGCAATCTACTAAATTTCAAGTTATTTCAAGTTCTATTTACCTACAAAAAAGTTCATGAAATGAAAATAAAAAGTACATAGGTAATTTGTTTTATTTAAATTTATTTATTACTTATATTGAACGTACAATTATTAAAAACATTATTTGACATTGGAGCCACGGCACTTGTAGAGCAAAGAGTGGAGGATGTTGTAGTTGTCTCATTTCTTAAATTTGATATAATGTTCTTATGATGGTCCTCATTTAACTGCAGGTATGGTTGTATTGAATGCTCTGAAGTATGACCCGTAATTTTAATAATTTCTTGGACACTAGTGCCTGCTTTTGATAATCCACTTATTGCGGTCGATCTGTTAGAATGATTGGTTATTTTTACCTTTTTTGTATCGATTCCTATAGCTTCTGCAGACAGTTTTGTCCATTTATTAATTTCGTTTATTCCAAGTGGACAATTTTTATACCAGCAACTAGTCGGATATTTGTCCCAGTCTTTATTTACAGTAAGAAATAGACGTCTGGTTTTTATATTTTTGGTCCATTTTATTGTACAATCTAAGAGGACAATGAGTGGGGTTTTGTGTATTTGGAGTTAACCATTTACTATCAGTAGTTCGTTGATTTCCTCCTTGGGCAGTTTTGGAAAAAACAGTATTATATTCAATACGTCCTGTTTTCTTGCCGTAGTTGTCTGTTTCTTCCACAAAATAGTCTAAAAGAGCTGACACAGCCTCACCACCACGCCAGGCTAGTTCTATGGCTGCAATATGATAAAATTTACGCTGGAGTCCGGAGGGTGTATTTTCATCTAATGCATTTAGAATTTTCTCAATATCTTCAATATTTAATGCAATAGAGCTACTCTTTCTTTTTGACGGAATAGCTTGAAGTTGTTTGCGTTTGGCGTTTTTCGCGAGTACCGCAGTGCGAAAAACAATATCTTTAAATGGATCGATGGTGCGATTAAACTCTTTGAAGTATTTCTGCTGCACTCTTTTGGCAGTAAGATTCCAAATAGTTTTCACTACACCTTCCTTGTAGTCGGTGCCGTCGGCTTTTCTCATGTTGATTGCCCAATCTTTAAGAATGTTGCAAAGTTCTTCATTAGAAGTATTTTCAGTTAACTGATAACTGCGGTCATCACAAAACTTTTCAAATTGTCGCGAAACGAATGATTCTGTTTTTACCGTGTTGGTTGGTTTACTATTTTCAATAATTTTATCAATTAATTCCGTAGAAATATTGCTAAACCGAGCCATGATCAAAATTGACAACTGTCAAATTTTGAAATGGAGATCACAGTTACCTATCCCTCGAGTTTTGACATAAGTGAATATTCGAACTCTTGTATATTCGATTATACAAGGGTTCGAATATTCGATCTGCGTCATAATAAGTAAATAACCGTTGTAATACATGATAACTATGGAAAATCGAGCGTTTTCATTGGTTCATATTTCAATGAGTGGTATAGTCCTTGTTATTGGGAAACTGTTGGTCAATAAATGCTTTTATTATTATATATTTTTGACAGTACGCCTTGAACCCAAAGTTTGGAGATTTCAGGTTCTATCTCTATTTACAATATCAGACTTAGAACTACTTGACTCATATCTACAATTAATGTTTTTTTATTTCTAGATGAACCGCCCCATCCAAGTGAAGCCAGCGGACAGTGAAAACCGCGGAGGTAAGCAATTTTTAGAATAATTTTTTATTAAATTAATTATATTGATCTAATATTAAATACATAGTTGGGTTAAACAATGAATATCCAAGGATTTACACTTTATAATAGCTGAATTTTTCAAAAATGTTCAAATAATGAAAAAGCTTTTTGTGAGCCAAATAAGGACAGTAGGTGAATTTAGTGTTTTTTAAAAAAGATAAAAATTGCTCACAAAACGTTACAGCCGCGTTGTTAAAATGTTTTAAAAATGTATAAAAATGTATAGAGAGTCCACTTTATATTTCAATGTTCTCGTCCAAATAATCCTGAGTACCTATATATTAAACGGAAAAATATTTTGATATTTATTGACTTTAAAGTATAATATAAATAAATTGAATAAAACAATGACGGTAAATCAATTAACAAAATATGAATTAAGATGTATAACAATTAAAAATTTTAAACATCTAAAAATAATAATAAAAGTAAACAGGATGTCAAGGTTTTCAGAGAGGATATGAGTATATCTATTTAAGTATTGGAATATTAAAAAAAGAAGATAAAAAGAAGAAAAACGGGATGACACTTTAATTTTTGCCGAGTTAATAAATTAAATTATGGGAACAAAACAAAAATGAGGATACAGGAAAAATATATAATCAGGAATGAAACAGAATAGTCACAGAACAAGTTAAAAGAATAGCCTAGAAAAAATGGCGTTATCAGTCGATGGTAATTGATCATTTATAAAAATTACTATCGATGTTTTTAATTTAACGTATTACCAGCAAATCCAGTCGGTAATATAATAATATTTTATTGGATTTGAATAAACTCATGGCTGTCGCCATATTTAGTACAAAAATTATAATAATAACATCACTTAAAAAGGAAAATATACAATAACAATAATTTATGCAAGGAAAAACATATTTCAAAATGATGAAAAGGCGAAGTTCAGTTTTCACTGTTTTTAAACTTAACAAAAAAAAAAAACATTTAAATCATAAAAAAGATAAATAAAAAACATACAGGTTATTTATTTTCTTAACTAAATTAATTTGGTACCCATCAATATTCATATCCTACACATTGCCATGAATTTGTTGTTAATAATAATTGTATTACTTATGGTTCTACTCTTAGATACTCTTTTAAACGCTTCTTAAAATTAACTAAATTGTAGGATCTAATTTCAGCCCAAGTTTGTTATATTCTTTGGATGTAACATAAGAAAAGGATCTTTTAAAAAATGCTGTTTGGTGTTTAGGTATGACTAAGGTGTTTCTGTTTCGCGTAGATAATGCATTTATATTTGAAAACGTTATTAATTTTTTGAATAAATAATCGAGTTTTTGAAGCTTTAATGTCTTATGAACTAATGTTAATAATTGAAGTGTCCTATAGTTATTAAAAGATAACCACCCTGATTCTACCATTTTGTGTAAAATATGATCAAATTTTCTTATGCCATATGCGAAACGCAAACAACAGTTCTGAATTTTTTGTAAACGTAGCGCAGGTCCGTAAATAGAGTCACAATAAAATATCTTTAAAAATATAAGAAATTCACAAACTAACTTTTTGACTTCATTTTCAAACTAAAGAACATTGCCACCAATTGTAATCTGTAATTGATCTACAGTTGATTTTATATTTTTGTTTGCACCAAATAACATTGCTGTAGATTTAGATGAATTTATTTTTAAGTTGTGAGCAGTAGATATATTAAATAATGAATTGAAGTCTTCATTAAGATAAAGACTTGAGTTACCCAGCGACTCTTTGTCAAAAGCTGCGTATCGACAGCATAATGATGAATCGCACAAGTTTGAATAAAGCTTTGGAAGTCAGATATGTACAGAGCAAATAGAACTGGTCCCAAAATTGAACCCTGTGGCACCCCTTGTATTACTGGTAGGAAATTTAATATGTTGCCATCCAAAATTACTTTATGAGCCGTAAATGTCTCATTTATTTACAACTTTTTTATTAAATTTACTTATATTTTTAATTATTTGCTCTATTTGCAATTGAAAAGCTATTAATTTTTATATATTATTCTTTTTCTTCTCTTATTATTGTTCTTGTAATATGCATACATAACTTTAGCAAGTCTTGTCACTATATTTTCTTCGACTATTACATTCCTTATAAATATTGTTAAACTTGTTTTACAAGGAAAAAAACACCTAGTCTCAGAAATTTATTTATTATATTTTAATTTTTATTTTAATTTTATTTAATAATATTAACACCGGTAAAGAAATAAATAAAGCACGGATTTAAGATTTATTTTATTGATGTCCATAAAAAAGTGACTGTCTGGAAACCTGATAAAGAAATTTTCAGGAAAAGAAGGGAAAGCACAAACAACACATTTACACTCGCGATTCAACATTTCCTCGTCTCCACCATCGGTTATCAATTCACGGAACCGGAAGATATAGAAAGCTCATAAACTTAAACGAGTGCCGTCAGTTGAACTTACAAGGTGTCACACGATAATATAAATCGTTATTTTTTGTAGAATTAACTACAGTTATGAAAAATACTAATATATTTCTAGGACTTATGCATCCAAGAAATACATTCAGTTTTGAACAATTGCAAGCAATGGATTTAGGTGACGTATTCGACATTATTGATGGAATTGATGATGATCAGGCCATTGATTCTGATTTTGGGGGAGACTCAGATGCCGAGGACGATATCAAGATAAATATTTCTATACCAAGCACTAGCCGAGAAAAAATATCGTACGCCAGTGAATTAGATTACGACAGCGATGACTCAATAGGGGACTCAAACTTTCACCCTACACCAAAAAAAGTGAACAGAGCAAGATATTCCTCATCTGATGAAGAAAATTATAATGAGACCCTCGCAAATCTTCGTCCAAAACCACGCTCATCCAATAAACAAACAAAAAACAACGATTTTGAATGAAACAGAAAACCATGTTGTCCTCAACTTTTCGAGGCAGTCAACTTTAAGGGACCCACAGGCCCAAAAGTGGTAGTAGAACATTCACCTATTGACATTTTTTTAACGCTTTTTGGAGATTTTCTCGATCTAATTGTGTCCGAATCAAACCGATGAGACGCTTTACAAAAAAAGTACTTTTCTTGATCGTAGAAGAGCTAAAGGTTTCCACTCCTTACGAAGCTTACGTTTATATTGGTCATCAGATCAGAACTTTCATGGTTAATGAATTTCGAATACAATAATTTCAAAAAGATTTTTAAAAATCTGATGTGTCCAACACATGACTTTCCTATCTAGTTATTATAGGCATTTTTCGGTTATTTTGTACAACCTATTGCAGCATCTCTATAAATGTTTAGAGGATAAACTAAATATATACATTTTACACATACATTTACCTCGAAACATTTTTCTATAGATATTCATGGAAAACGAAAATACTGAAAAATTTAAATTTCCTACAATTTTTTCATTACGGTCCATTTTATAAAAATCATGTATAAACAAAACTTATAGAGATCGATATCGCAAACAACTTTTATTTCAAAAACTTTCATAAAAATCAGAATTTTGCACATTTTGTCAAATTTCTCGAATACGGACCATTTCAGGAAATTTTTACATATAACAAAAATTATAGATAATAATATTAGAAGTAACTTTTATTTGAACAATTTTTTTCTCCAAACATTAATAACAGATATATTCCATAAAATATAAAAGTGGCCTCCCATAAAGTACCCCCCCAGATGTTCCGACTGTGTCCAAAATCTAATCATTTCACATCAGGCCGAAATAAACCTTAAGTTTAAAATTTTATGTTTTTTTCTTTATCCGTTTTTGAGTTTTCTTCAAAATTCGAAATTTACACATTTTCTCAAATATCTCGAATACGGTCCATTTTAGAGAAATTATGTATGGAATAAAAATTAAAGAGAATTATATCTTAAACAACTTTTATTTGAACAATTTTTATAAAAAATTATTTTTTTTACATTTTGTCAAATTTCTCGAATACGGACCATTTTAGGAAAATTTTGCATAAAACAAAAATTATAGATAATTATATTAGAAGTAACTTTTATTTGAAGAAATTTCTTCTCCAAACGTAAATAACAGATATATTCCATAAAATATAAAAATGACCACCTATAAAGTACCCCCCCAGATGTTTTGACTATGCCCAAAATCTAATCAGCTCATTGGACGCTGAAACAAAGCTTAAGTTTAAAATTTGGTGTTTTTTTGTGTATCGGTTCATGAGTTATGCGTTACACACACACACACACACACACACACACACACACACACACACACACACACACACACACACACACACACACACACACACACACACACACACACACACACACACACACACACACACACACACACACACACACACACACACACACACACACACACACACACACACACACACACACACACACACACACACACACACACACACACACACACACACACACACACACACACACACACACACACACACACACACACACACACACACACACACACACACACACACACACACACACACACACACACACACACACACACACACACACACACACACACACACACACACACACACACACACACACACACACACACACACACACACACACACACACACACACACACACACACACACACACACACACACACACACACACACACACACACACACACACACACACACACACACACACACACACACACACACACACACACACACACACACACACACACACACACACACACACACACACACACACACACACACACACACACACACACACACACACACACACACACACACACACACACACACACACACACACACACACACACACACACACACACACACACACACACACACACACACACACACACACACACACACACACACACACACACACACACACACACACACACACACACACACACACACACACACACACACACACACACACACACACACACACACACACACACACACACACACA